TCTACTTTTTACTTTTTCTATTACACAAAAAGCACTTATTTTATCAAACACTACCAACTTTTACTACTAATCAATTTTTTCCAAAAAGTGCTTTTATTTAAACACATGTGATTGCAAACAGAGCGTTAGTGATTCGAACAAAAAAAAATGGCTGGGAAGGCTATGAAATTGGGCGGGATGACAACAAACTGACACTTAACTGAAACATAGACAAACTCCTTCATAACATTCATTGCAGATATTTCATGCATGCTTAGAAAAATAATAATCCGTATCAATATCTTAAACTGGAATATTTAAAAGTGACTCACGCCATTATCATCTCTAGTAATCGAATTAAAAACAAACAGGTTAAAAGAAAAGCATCAATATAGTGATCATTGAGCTAAAGAGAAAGTCTTGTACTTCACTACTTCTAATCTAATAATAATAATAATAATAATGATAATGATAATGATAATGATGATGATGATGATGATGATGATGATGATGATGATGATGATGATGATGATGATGATGATGATGATGATGATGATGATGATGATGATGATGATGATGATGATGATGATGATGATGATGATGATGATGATGATGATGATGATGATGATGATGATGATGATGATGATGATGATGATGATGATGATGATGATGATGATGATGATGATGATGATGATGATGATGATGATGATGATGATGATGATGATGATGATGATGATGATGATGATGATGATGATGATGATGATGATGATGATGATGATGATGATGATGATGATGATGATGATGATGATGATGATGATGATGATGATGATGATGATGATGATGATGATGATGATGATGATGATGATGATGATGATGATGATGATGATGATGATGATGATGATGATGATGATGATGATGATGATGATGATGATGATGATGATGATGATGATGATGATGATGATGATGATGATGATGATGATGATGATGATGATGATGATGATGATGATGATGATGATGATGATGATGATGATGATGATGATGATGATGATGATGATGATGATGATGATGATGATGATGATGATGATGATGATGATGATGATGATGATGATGATGATGATGATGATGATGATGATGATGATGATGATGATGATGATGATGATGATGATGATGATGATGATGATGATGATGATGATGATGATGATGATAATGATAATGATAATGATAATGATAATGATAATGATAATGATAATGATAATGATAATGATAATGATAATGATAATGATAATGATAATGATAATGATAATGATAATGATAATGATAATGATAATAATAATAATAATAATAATAATAATAATAATAAAATACATTACTCCCTATGTCCCAATATTAATTTCTATTTACAGAAAATGAAAAAATAGAAAATGAAAATTTTATGATGAAAAGTTATAAAAAATCGAAAAATGATCGATATAAACCACAAATTTTTCCACAAAAACCTAATGAAGTTTATTTTGAAACACATAAAAGGAGAAAAGAATGAAAAAAATCGAGATGAAGGTATTATTATAAAGCTGACTTGGGGTTGATGTTATAATTTTCAAAAAGAATTTGTTAAAGTATTTGTCTCATACCGGAAAGCTATAAAACAATAAAATACGGAGTATTATATAAGACTTTGGGTTACTCCTATCAGGTTGACCTTTTAGAATGGAATCTCGGGTCTTAACATGGTATCAGAGCCAAGTTCGATTGTGGTTTGACTGCTAGTTTAGCACCCATGATTAAGAGTGACTTGTTACGGGTTTGTTTGGAACATTTATACACAGCGATATGGTTCAACCTGGTTCGGGCTGAGGAGGCGTGTTCAGGCGCGTAGCCAGGATTAGGAGTTGGATTGGGCCGGTACTAAGAATTTTTATAGATAAATATTTACACATAAATTTTTACATTAAAAATATAAGCAATTTTAAAATTTGGGCTGGACCATGGCCCGATTGGCCACCCCTGCACCTCCACCCCTGGGCGTGTTAAAGTATTTGTCTCATACCAGAAAGCTATAAAACAATAAAATACTATATAAGGATTTGAGCTACTCCTCCAATCAGGTTGAAATTTTAGGATGGAACCCCGGGTCTTAACAGAATTTCCTCAACGACACAATTGTAGTCCAAAGTCCAAAGTGATCATTTAAAAAATCTACCAGTACTATTCCGGCCAAGTCCAAGATCCTACTTCAGGTTTAATTGCAACAGTCCACTTTTCACGTTTGACAAGCACACGTTTGATCATTAATATCTTCATTCCTAGCAGGGGCGGACCCAAGAAGTTTGTTTTGGGAGGGCGGTAACTTAAACAAAATATTTTTGGGAGGGCGAAAATTATTTTTTATTATATATATACACTAAAAAATTTTGTTGTTGGGGGGGCGACCGCCCCCCTAAGTCTGTACTACGGTCCGCCCCTGATTCCTAGTTAGTAAAAAATAAAATATTTAAATATTAACAATTTAAAATGGGAGGAATTTAACAATATTGTTTCAAAATTTAATTTATAATACATTAAGTATTAACTTCGGAGAAATAAACTAACATGCCATTGGTCCAACTTATTTGAATACTTTGTATTAAATAACTACATTTCAATGCCAAATAAGCCATATTTGAAAATATTCCTGCACTATATTGCATACATTTGACAAAGGCAAGAAAGTGGCCTGCTTTTTACAAAAAAATTATGTATGTAAAATACTATGGAGAATAATCTACAATATATTTTATTAATTTAAAAATTAACACTAAAATTGGTTGAATTGATTGAATCTGAATTTATGAAATTATAGCGGAAACTATTGAATTATGAAAAATTATATCTACAATATATTTTATTAATATAAAATTTGATTTTTTTACTATAAAATAGCTAAAATAGTCATCTTCAACAAAATTCAGCAATTCAATAAAAAAGTAGCTTCAACTTTACGATTGTCACACAAATCAGTGTGCGAAATCGAAGTTAGCCTTTGATAAAAACAATTAATGGTAAGCCTGATAAGCCAAAAAACAATTGAGCTAAAGTTTACTCAAACATGATAATAGAAAAAAACAATCAAAATTTACTCTAATAATAAACCATTTTCTGTCAATAAGGAACACAAAAGTCACTAGACGGGCTCATGTTCAATTGAGGTAAAGTTATAGAATTGTGTTTCTAATAATAATAATAATAATAATAATAATAATAATAATAATAATAATAATAATAATAATAATAATAATAATAATAATAATAATAATAATAATAATAATAATAATAATAATCTGCGTAGTATTATAATAATTACAGTACTACTATAAAGTTGATTTGGTGTTTTGGTACACTATGAGGCCGTTTGGTAACACTGTTTTCGGCTTATCAGGCAATTTTTTCACCAAACACGTAACTTTTGTTTTCAAACTGAACTGTGTAATAATAAGAAAAAGTAAGGTTAAAGTTACTTTTCTGGCTGTATTGGCTGAAGTTACTGTACATGATCATTTTAGCTATTTTTATATATAATGTTTCCATTATATTATTAATAAAATATAATTTAAAAATATTTTTTTCTTAAATCAGCAGAATCAGCCAATGCAACCACTTTAGCGAGAACTTCATAAATTTCAGCATAATCGGCCGAATCAGCCTATTTGCTTGTTAGCAAGCGGGCTCCTATATATGTAGCAAATAAGCATTCCCAATAAGACATAACTTTAACAGTTTAACTTGGGCAGTGTAGTGTAAATCATTGGTAAAGGTCTTAAACTGGAACCTTTTACCAATGAATGTTTTCTCCAATCATAGAAATAAATTCAAAAAACATCACAGTAAATGAGTCCTATAAATGATTTTGTTTTACTGCTTGTTTTTTGTAGTACAATCAGTGGTTCCAAACAAGGAAAATACTGTAGTAATAGGTCATTTCAAGTGTGAAATGTCAAAATCAGAACCAAAGGGTCTTTGTATGCACGCTTCATTTCCTCTGGCATAAAAGAGAGGAGTGGGAAAAAACATACGGAGTATTCCATACGGAGTATTAAAAATTGGAAGGAGCAATATGTTTTCCATTAAGGTTTGCAACTTCCTACGAGTATATTTGAATATGACCAACAGACCCAAAAAAAAAAGAAAGAATACATAAAGTCACACTCAGCCACAAGTACCCTTCACAAAAAAAAATTCATATTCACTAGAACGGACGAACCAGAGAGTCCAAACCAAAAGGAATAGTCCTCCACCTTCGTTTAAGGGCAAAGCACGTGAGGGCCCTTTTGAAGAAACAGTTCCCAATCTAAGACTAAACTATACCCCATTAAGACCTGTCTTAAGTTTCGTTCTGCTTCCGTACCTTAAAGCTATCTTTCATTATCCATCTAAACTTTAAGGCTTTGTTTGCGATCATTTGTGCTTAAATAAAAGCATTTTTTTGGAAAAAATGATTAATAGTAAAAGTTGGTAGTGTTTGGTAAAATAAGTGCTTTTTATGTAATAGAAAAAGTAAAAAGTAGATTCTACACGAAAACCGAGAAAGTAAAAGTTGTTAATGCTTGATAAAATAATTATTTTTTCTTAAAAAAAAACCAAAATCACTTTTCCTAAGCGATTGCAAAGAAGGCCTTAATCGATTTTCATGTATGTGTGCAAAAGGAGGGAGTTAGGCATGGTTTTAAATTGTGGACTGCAATGCCCATTGAGGGCCCCAATATTGTGCCAGCATTGAGCTGTGAAATTCCGATTTTCTAAAAAAATGCAACAGGACCTATCCGGCTGCATCGAGACTACAACACGAATTTAATTTTTTCTTATTGCACACCGCACTGATTGCAATACGCATCAGAGCGACTACAAGAGCCGCAGCAAGCGGCCACAATTTAAAAAAAGAATGACACTCCATACCTGAAGATTTCTAGAACCGACCGGACAGTTATTTAAGAGAACAGCAATTTAAGATCGACTCGATATTGAGAGGGAGGGAATAGGAGAGATACCTTTGCAGATGTTGCTGAGTTGAGACTCAATATTGTTGAGGAAGTTAGTAGTTTCGTGGAATGGCCGGGAGAGATCTGATTTGTACTTCACCAAGATGTCACAGTAGGTTTCCTATTGATAGGAAAAGGAATTTATTATATAAACAGTTCAAGTGGATGCAAACAAACTGTTTGAATAATTGACTCCACCAAAATAAAGAAAAGTTACACAAGCATATGAAAGCTCCGCTGTGGCTTGTAAAGAGATAGCTAGGGAGAAAGAGAGAGAGACCATAAAAATGTCGAGCTCAATATCATCTCCAGAGCACGCGGGCACACGACCATCATGCTTAAGCAAGCCGTTTTCTCGCCTGATTTCATCCAGAAGCGTTGCGACCTCCGGCGGCGCTCCTACCTGAAAACACCACAAAACTCGTGATTGCATCATCAATAAGCTCTACGAAGAAGCCTTCATGCCCGTTTTAAAATGCACACATAGATACACTTGACGACTTCGACCGAACATTTCAGAAAGCATAAGATTCGAGTTGCTGCATTTCATATTCAAAAATATCCTGGCAGTTTTCAGATATCAGAAAAATCAAACGTTCTGAGAAGTGAACCCAGAAACTTAGCAAAACGGTTATATATACTCAATTTTTTTAGAATTGTTCGTTTGAACTATTGAATTTGTTGCCTAACCTTCTGGCAATCAATATAAGCTTCTAGGAGCTTCGGATAAGAAGGATGAGCGGCGATTTGAGCTTTGATCAAGCTAATACCGTCGTTATCGTAGCCTAGGTCGTCCCTCTCAGCAGCCGCATCGTCTAACCGTTCTCCGCCTCTCCAGTGAGCATCGGGAGTCACGGAACCGGCTTCGGAGTCGACTGAGCAATGGAAGCAGCCGGAGGCGGCAGTAAGGTCGTCGGAGCCGAGCATCGGAATCCGATCGTCCGCGAGGGAAGGAATCATGCCGTGGTAACTGTAGCTACAGTCAAACAGTCCGTCCGGTGGCATGACAGGCCTGTGGACGTAGTCCGGCGGAGATTGAAGCCCAAACATTCCATCCATGTAAGAGTGCTGCTTCTAATCCCAGGGCGCGTTCGAAGAGTTGATTATTCAATACTTCGTGCGACAAAATTGAACATCGATCACATCTCGTTGACCAGGGATATGATAGCGCAGTGCTTAATTGATTATGAGTTACTCCTTGAAGAAGGAGAAGGAGTGGGTCAGTGGGAGATATTGTTGCCTGCAGCTTCAGATGGCAATGGAAGTTAGAAACCAACATGAAGAGAAAGAAAGTCGGGAAGAGTATTAATTAGCGTTTGGTCTGGTTACATTCTAGGAAATACTGGGTATATGTGCCAATGGACGTAATTCCGTCATTTTTAGGAGATTTTATCACTATTTTAATTAAATCTCTACCTTTGATTTTGTCACGATATTTTAGTAGATCCATTATTTCCGTCACTCGGAATGGAATAAAAAATTCACTATTTTTTAATTTGAGAATATGAAGGAATAAAACAAAATATTCACTAATTTGTCTACGTTTATTTACAATGAAGCAGAAGTCAGTTTATGCAATTTTCAACGTGATTTTCACTTTGGATTCTCTGCAAACAGTATCTCTGTACTTTAGTACAGGTTAAGACTGCGACATACAACCCCCTGCGGCACTAGGATAATGATGATGATTTTAGGAGACTAATTAATAGAAGAATAAATGTTTTGCATGCCCTTTGACTATTGGGGGATAATTAATATTATCCGATCAAATGTAAAAAGTAAGTAGATAGTAAAAGATAGTTTGAACATTTAATGTAAAAAGAGTTACCTAAAAAGACATAAAGACTTAAATTTGACATCCCAAAAAAAGAGAATGTAAAGATTTAAATGGACCGACAAGAGTATCAAAGACTTGAACGTCTAAAAAAAAGTATGGCTAGATTTATTCTTGAAAAAATCATTTTAATTACATTCATATTACCTTCATCCCGAAAACGTTTGTCATATTAATTATATTTGTATATACATTATAATTTATAAATTTACTAGTATATTTTTATGATTTATTTTGGAAAAATTGATCAGAATAATCTCATTTTTCACTGGTATTCTCATAATAATCTCACCTTTACGTAATCCCAGAACAATCTCACCTTTGCACCTCATCTTCTTTCATTGGACACTGACCAAGTTTTTTACTCTTTTTTTGAAAATCATATAAATAATCTCACCTTTCACTTTTTTATTATATTTGTATAAATGTGAGATTATTTATATAATATTGTCAAAGAAAAGTAAAAAAATTGGTCAGAATCCAATGAAAGATGATGGGGTGCAAATGTGAGATTATTTTGGAATTATGTAAAGGTAGAATTATTATGAGAAGACCAGTGAAAGGTGGGATTATTCTTGTCAATTTTTTCAATTTTTTTTATTAAGGAACATTTTGATATAATTTTCATATTTTTAAAAAAAAATTGTATTAAAAAATCATTAATCAAAGTTGAGTATTATTGATTGATCAAAAAAAGTCAATTAACAAACCGTTGAGACGGAGGAAATATAATCTTTTCTTTAATAGTAAATTGACTAAACTTGCTTAAATTTGCAAAATTTTCATTAAAACATTAGAATTAATTTAATCTATTAAATTATGACAAAATTATATGGCCTACTTAAATTATGCTCCCGATACCTATCGGACGTTATCATCTTTTTTGTTTGTGAAAAATCATTGTCGTTTAGCTTACTATTATTATTATTAACTAGTCTTTTACCCGTGCGTTGCACGGAGTGACAAATTAACAAATTGTCTAACAATTGACCAATAGTTCCAAGGCTTATTCAAGTGCACATAAATTGTTTCCATTATTAACTTTATTTCTAAGGTTTATTGCACATATGAATTTCAACTCTTGTCGGTCTAAAAACCTCTACAGTTGTAACTTCAATTTAAAAAAAACTTTATATATGTGATATTGGTGTCATATGAAAGCTCGTAAAAAGTTATGAATTTTAATATGTAGTATATTTTTTTGGAAAAAATGGAATACAAATGAAAAAGTTACCACACTAAAGAAAAATGAGAGTTATTTTATAAATGGCCCCCACCTTTTTCTTATTCTTTGTTCGTCGGAAGAGGGTTTCCAAATAGCTTCTGTTTGTTCTAAAGACTACGATAGTATTTCATTCGGATTACAACTTTACGAAAATCCATATCTTCATATCCTAAACCATAGTTCGTGTTTTGGCATCGAAGTTTCAAAACCCCCGTATATTTAGAATTTTCTCCATTTATATGCTCCTTGCCATATTAAGAATTTTTGTAAAACGTTTTAGGCGGTACAGATCCCTAGAGAAATGTGCTCTAATGAAAACTCTTTTTCCTTAATCTTTGTGTTTACTTTAAACTCAATCTGAACGCATGTCGTGCTAGCTTGTAAAAAGATTGTGCTAACTTATTTTATATTTGAAATCCGAGACATAAGTATTCTCAACTATAGCCCGTATTCAAACACCTGGATACAATGTAAAACATAATATATTAATGACTTGGTCACATTATCCAGTTTGAATAACCAATGTCTATTTACTATAGATAGTTATTAAATGGTGAGAGTATATCAAACACACGATCATTAGTCAACTTCCAATTTTTTTTATGTAAAACAGATTTTTGTAGTCCTAAGGGGCCATGGCTGACGTGCACTTTGTCGTGTATGCACTCAAAATAATTTTCAATACTAACACTTATACGTAGTATAGCGTAGTAGAGTTCGTATCCACAGGGAAAGGAATACCTTTCTTTTTATGTAAATAATAAATAAAGGGGGTTTTGAATGTTGAGTGATTTAATTAAATTAAACACGAAGATGAACGAGTTATATGGGACTAAATTCAAGAATAAAGGGACTTGGTCTTGCTACTTTCCACTTGTTGATATATTTTAGTCGATCATTGTTATACCTATAACTTATCCCCTCTCGAATACTCAATCGAGGAGTATATCCAATTCATCGAGGGTAGTTATTAACAACGACCGTTCATTAATAACCCTTACTATTAACCAAATATAGAACAACGCCGTATATCGATTTAATAGTAGCATTTAACCTCTTTAACTCCTTGATGAAATCAATTGAGATTGATAACCTCAACACAACGGTTTCGGTTTAACCAACAAAATTAATCCCTCTTAAGTTTATTAACCACGACCGTGCATTAATAAACCGAAGTTACTTACTTGTGAAACTACCAACGTTTAACCATCGGTTCGTTGATCGTTTCTAGTAATAATCAATGTCGGAACGTTAACTAATTGTCACTTAGCCACCCTTCAACATTAATATAGAATGAGATTAAGGGAAGAATTAATAATCAAGAGGAGAAAGTAAGAAAATAACTCACAACTTTAATAATCAACAAGCTTCAAGAGCAAAACCAAGAAATGGAAGTTTAGCTCCTCATTTGGAGACTAAACATGCTATAAAAATATAAGAAATAACTATTCTAAACTGAGCTTAAGTATATGGAAGAATGGGAATGATTTTTGTGAAGGAAAAGGGGTGTATTTATAGGGAAATGAAGGTGGCAGGATCATGTACCCGACCGGGTGTTTGGGGTACCCGATCGGGTACTCAGCTGGTTCCGAGAAATGGGAAAACGTCACCTCATACCCGACCGGGTGTGTCGGTATACCCGATCGGGTATGAGATCGGATTTTTCAAATATTTTGTTCCCACGATCCTTTGTTTCCGGGATTTGATTTGGACAACGAAATCGGGTCAATACCCGACCGGGTATGGCATAGACCCGACCGGGTATATGAACTTTCTCCCAAATTCATTTCTAATCTTGTTTACTTGCACCCCTTTTGGTCCTTGGGATCCATTTCCTTATCCCTTGAGTGCTTCCAACATGTCCTATGCTCAGAATAATCATATTCTAAGAAATTTACAATAATTAAAATAAAACAAAACATTACACCAAAAGTGTGTAATTTCCAAGCTAGTGAATCACAAAACTAATTAAAAACGTACAAATACAAATGGAAATTACACACAAATCAATGGCCCCCCAAAATGAAAATAAAATTGTTGTAAAATTTAATTTGCCCCCAAGAAAATAAGTAAACACCATATTGGTCTCCTCAATTCTACATCCTGTTTTCCCCATTGTACACCTAGTAACTACAGGCTAATGGAATTCACTATAGGGGTAATGAAAGTAATGGAGCAAATAGCGGGTATTACAACGTGTCCACTTCACAACTCTAACTTATTTCTTACTCAATTATATTAGGGAAAAGGTGCAAATAGGCCCATGTACTAACCAAAAAGGTCAAATAAGTCCTTATTTAGGAGGCTCTGTCCGGCCGTCGCCATTTGGGGTGGTTCCCGGTGGAATTTTTTGATGAAATTTTTTGAGCATCTTATTCATCAAGTCTAGTTTACTCATACCAAATTTCAGCTAAAACTTCAATCGGGAAGGCATTCAAATGAATTCTTGAAGATAACCGCGCTTCTAACTGCGCAGTTATTTTCAAGAATTCATTTGAGTGTCTTCCCGATTGAAGTTGTAGCTGAAATTTGATATGAGTAAACTAGATTTGATGAATAAGATGCTCAAAAAATTTCATCAAAAAATTCCACCGGGAACCACCTCAAATGGCGATGACCGGACAGAACCTCCTAAATAAGGGCTTATTTGACCTTTTTTGGTTAGTACATGGGCCTATTTGCACCTTTTCCCATTATATTATGATTAGTATTTATTTAAGTAATCTTGGTTTTGTGGTTCTTTAAGTCTGAAGGATTAACCTTATTTTCTAAGTGTAAACAATAACACCTTCACTCCTATTGAAACCGCTTATTCCATCTAAAAGCCATGTGCCAAGTCTCAATTCTTCTCTAGCAATTCTTCTCTGACATATTTTGTGCCTTAGGTGACCCATGTGTTTAAGCTCACAGTGAAATCTAATAGTTCCATATAACTATTGGATCAAACAACATTATATTGAGGTAAATAGATCCACAAAATTCATAGAAACAATTGTGGATACACCCCAAATCTATGGAAATCAAACATATGAGCTTCATCTTATGGACATCAACTCTAAATTTATAAAATGAATACATCTCAATCACATTTAAAACTCAGCCAAATTACATGTGCCAAATAAACTCAGTAAAGTTGCCCAATATTATGCATGAAATTGGGAGATATGAAAAAAATCCTTTCACTCACCACTTACTATGTATTAGGCATTTAAACAAATGCAAAGTGAAACAGTGAATTC